CAGCACCATAGTGCTCAAACCAAAACCCAAACGCAACCGAACTGAACTCACTGCCACCCAGTCTAGGCTGGCTCAGAGCAGCCCCAGTGGGTACACATTGAGCTGCTAACCACAAGGCCAGCAGTTTGAAATCCCCAGCTGCCCTGCTGGAGAAAGACGGGCTTTCTAGTCCTGTAAAGAGTTACAGCCTCTAAACATAAAACAATGTCCGCAGAAAATGCCCTGGAGGAGCAGAAATAATTGGGAAGGTAGAGGAGGACTAGCCAATAGTTCATTCTGCCTTCCATCCTAGGAGGATTTATATACTAGCACTAATCACGGAGGCTTCTGCTGCAATCCCTAGGGCTTTCATTGACTAACTTTCGGAATGGGTCACCGGGCTTTCTTTCCAAGTTTTGGTCTAGAAGCTTTGCTGAAACATGTCCATGATGAGTGGTCACATTGGTGTTTGAAATATTGGTGGCATAACTTCCACGATCACAGCAGCATAAAAGCTACCTGCGTCCTACAAACTGACAGACGAGTAGGAAAGATACTTGTATGTTTTTTCCTGTCTAATATGAAGGTGTAGAACTGGAGGACGATAAATTCTAACAATGCTAAAGAATGAAGGGTAGCTAAAATACATATCAAACATGTAAAAGAAAATGCAAGGGGTCTTCCAAAAGTTTATATAAAATTTCCATTACCTTTTCCTATTATTGTCCATGAACTTTTAAAATCCTCTCGTAAAAAATAGTAAAATCATTTTTACATGCATTTCTTTAAAGACATTTTCTCCTTTTACTTTTGTCGACGTCAATGGGGGGAAAACGAGAACCTGTTATTGACAGGGCTATTCTGGAATGCCTTTCACTTAGTGTCGGCAGCATTTGTCCCATGGGTTAAAAAAATTCCGATACAAAATAACATTGGAAGACTAATCTTATAAATTTAGGAATAACATTTACTCTCATATTATTTAAAATCAGATCCTGTTTTTATTAAATATTGTCTAGGTTTTCTAGTAAGGTTGTGTTTACTAAATTGAATTCTGGTTTAGTGTAACTATGTCACATTGTCCATGTTTTAGTTTGGAAGTTTGAAATTTGCCTTTGAACCATTTCTTCTTGTGTTGTAATATCGAGGATAAGTCCTATTTTACACTTTTCTCAAGCAAGCATCCTATGAAGCAGTTCCCTCCCTTAAACACTCGGGTGGCTTCATTATACAGTGAACCCTCGTTTATC